ATTTTTAGAAATATAAATATAATATAAATAAATTATATTATATTATGTAACTTACAAGGTAGATTGATTTATTATTAATTTTGTTATTTTGTGTTTAAGGAAATTTGATGAAGAAGCTTCTAAATATTGACTCATAAGATCTCTGTGGCTTTGGATATACCACACTGCGAGCAAAATCTCCGTACTTTCTCGATGTAATCTCCCGGCTTGATGAAGATATGCAAAGTATATTGAGTAATAATAGTGGGTGGTGTGTAGTTTACGTGTCCACCTGGTTCGGGCACGTTTTTCTGCTCTTAGTCAGATATGATATGTCCGCGAGTATATATGCTCCAACACGCCCAGTTTACAAGAGAATCGAATTATCCTATAATTTACAACATACGCAATAATCAAAATTTTATCAGATTCTAAAATATAAGTCCTATATTTATATTACATTTTGCTATCTTGATCGACTTCGATATTTAAACAAAATACTTATATACTATTTTATTTATGCAAATCTTTTATTCATTGATTTTTTTGAATAATACTTGTAATTGTATAGAATATAGTTTTTATATATTTGATTACATAAAATATAAGCATTATACTACTTGCATAATTTCTATATATGTATATTTTTTCGACTTTTGATATGATTTCAATACAGTTTCAATATGTTTCAACGTATCCCGCGTATTTGAAATTGTGTGTTAAAATTTGATGACAACGCTATCTCGCGTAACATCAACAAAGCATGAAGGAAACATGGCGACCCGCACGATTGATGAAAGATGTTTCGGGATAGTTTCAAATATTACAAGAGCCGGAATCCCACACCGGATTTCGACGACGTGATCGATTTCGAAAGTCCGGATTGCATCAAAGTATGTGATATTACTATTTGTATATCCTTTCGAAAATTAATCACGAATGTCGTTTTTAGGTTAGAAAGATTGAGGTACACATAACTGGCGAACAGACCGATAACAGTTTTGGTCTTAAATCAGTGAAAAAATGGAACATTTATGAATTGCTGGATATTCCCGGTACGGAAATTTTCTATGAAATAACGATAATGATTAAAATTATTCTTAAATAATTCCATATAAAAAATAATACTGCTTTTCTCTCTCGGAATGTCATATCAAGACTTATTTAATCTTTTGCTTATATAATATCACATTTTAATGCATTGTTTACTATAGCTAATATTGTTTTGTAGAAAATTGTAATTAATATATTTAACTTTGTACTTGCTAGTCCTGGTATTACTTATTTTAACACTTTCAGGTCTTATCTTTATTCAGAATCCATTTACACCAAATGGCCAACGATACTGGATTACAAAATGCTTGAAAGATTACTCTAAGGAGCCATACAAGTTGAACATAAATGCTCATAACGTTTTAAATAATGAAACGTGGTGGGACATATGTTTTCAGTAAGAGAATTATTAAATTAGTATTGATATTATTTTTTTATGTAATAATAGAATTTAGATTTGTGATTAAGGAAGACACCTCATGTAACAGGTAAAAAAAATCGATTTTTTTGGCATAATTTAATAGTATATTCCATAAAAATATGTCCCTTGAGTTTTAAAACGAAATTCGAAGAATTAACGCAGTTTTAGACAATTTTATTACTGACCATCAAGCAAATAAAGCGCCAAGCACATGGTGTGTCTCTTCTGTCGACACTTAGATTTTGAACACAACTGGAATATTTCTTTTGTAGAAACATAGTGCGTACATTCATGTTTCTTTGTATAGGGTTAATGGTCATCTTGAAACAGTTCTGTTTTTAAAACATAGTTCTATTTTTCGAATTTTGAATGAAATACAATAATGTAAAGATGCCTCCAAAGTAAATAAAGAAAATATTTATTGTCTGAGTCATGAAAAAGAAGATTTGCAAGGGCAATCAATTTATTAATAAAGATTCTATGGAAGGAATAAATGCTTCAGCAAAAAAATTAAGTTCTGCAAGTTTTACAAAAAGCATAATTATTATCACTCTCATTATTAACATATCATTGAATTTTTAACTGTTTTTGGCGGATTTGCGAAAATATTTGCAGACATTGTAAACAAAATATAACATTTGGCGAATCAGAATATCGTGACCTTGATTTTAAAATCATAATTAGATGCTGATGTGGTCAAACACCAATCAATTCTAGTTCTTTTATTTAAAATGTTCACGAAATCAATTTTAGAGTAGTGTTTGTTATGAGATTATTAGGCATTGCTAGAAAAGGCATAAACATTTTTTGTGGACTTGTGAATCTCAGCCTAAGCTCACCTGCATACGAAAATGATATGAAAAAAATTCATGCCGCGGCGAGTATTTGATATTTGTGTAGAAAAGCGATTGATGAAGAAAAAGAAGATAATGTTAAAAATGAAAAACCTTTAAATTTAAAAGTCTAGCGATGGATTTTGGAAAAAAGACACGCGGCTTCTCTTCATTATTTGATATCACAACACTAATAGAAAATTACACTGGCAAGATAATAGACCTCATTATAAAGAGGAGCTATTGCCAATCATGCACATATTGGAAAGATAACAAATACTGAAGATTATCTCTTATGGTACGAACAACATTAACAAGAATGTGTTAAAAACCATACTGACTCTGCGAGAAAAATGAAGATAGATTCTATGAAAGAGATGTTCTTAAGATCCGAAAAGTTTGGAATAAATACGATAATTACATCGGAGATGGTGATATTAAAACGTTCGAAGCAATTTTGAATTTAGAACTTTATAGCGATGATTTCGAAGTTATAAAAAGTGAAAGCGTTGGTCATATGGAAAAAAAAGAGCAGTAGACTTCGAAATATGAAGAAAACTGCAAAACTTAGAAAACGTCTTTAAAATATTTTTAGACGCCAAAGATGTCTTATGTCTCTCTTTTGAGTACTTTGTGTTGTTTGGAAACGTAAACCCTACAAAAAAAAAATCGTTTTGATCTTTTTTATTTCAAATGACAACGCATTGCACGCTGACAGACGACTTCAACGCCGACGTATCGAAATAACGTTTTTATTATATCTTAAATATACATTACTTTTCAATAAAAAAAATTTTTTAGTAGTTCAATATTACAATCACATATCTCGAAAAATTTTAAATAATTGATCGTATAGTTTTTTAAAAAGAAATTTCGGAAGATCACCTTGTTTTCAACGCATTACATAAGGTGTCCCCCTTAAAAGTAATATTTTTAGTGAATATAGAATATATTTTTGTACTAATTAGCTGTCTATGAAAAATCTGTATTCATATGCATATTAAGATTTGATGTGTATAGGTATTAAGACATGTATATTAAGGTATTTATTTGTTATGTATAGAACAGAGAAAGCAAAAACTCTCCTATCAAAGTTGCGATGGGCGACAATGGGATATCATCACAATTGGGATACGAAATTATACTCTGAAAACTCGAGAAGCGACATGCCGACAGAATTATCTGGCTTAACATCCGTTTTGGCAAAAGCATTAGGTTTTTCAGACTTCAAAGCAGAAGCTGCGATTATAAATTATTATCGAATGAACTCGACTTTAGCAGGGCATACAGATCATTCGGAGATGAATATTACTGCGCCGCTTTTTTCTATAAGTTTCGGGCAGACAGCAATCTTTCTGATTGGTGGTCTTAAACAGGAAGATCCGGCTAACGCTATTTTTCTACGGAGTGGAGATGTAGTTATAATGTCGGAAAGCTCCCGTCTAAGGTATCACGGGGTGCCGCGGATTTTAGCAGCATCGAAAGCACCTTGGGACGATAATTACGAAGACAATTGCGAAAGCCCCACGTACAATCTGGATGATTGGCACAAAGCACGGACTTACATTGCCGAAGCTAGAATTAATATGAATGTAAGACAGGTTTTGAAACCTGGGCACATTGTATTATACTAAACTACATTGTAATTTTTTGTACATAAGTATTAAAGATATTTATTTTGACAAAAATACAAAATTTATGTCCCATATTTGAGTATCATCTTATATATATTTAATTACTTTCAGTTTCAATTACATTTATGATTTTATGTCAGGATGAATATTAGATTAAAATTTATATATATTAATATATAACAATAATTATATGTATAATTTGTATATATATAAATTAAAAAATTATATAAAAAAATATAAATTGTACAACATTAAATTAACTTTAAATAAATAGATTAAGTAAATAATATATTTTTAAAGTTTATATTTCGCATTTTAACCACATATTTTATGCACATATGTGTACACATGCATTTTCAAAATCACGCGCCATTGGAAACGTAATCACTAGATTTCCGGTCTCTCGTGTCAGCTGATCAATCCCATTCCTGTCTGCTGATGCACAGTAGTCGACAATGTCGGGCAAAGATAAATTACCAATTTTCCCCTCTCGAGGGTAAGTTTTTTACTTTAACAAACTAATAATTGCAAAATCTCGATGATTTCACTTATATATTATATATCATTATTTGTCCTTGAATAGAATTCCGTCTTAAAACATATCTCAGCACTGGGTGTAACTCCAGCATTCAACTATTAAAAGAATGTGAATTTGTATTTAAATATTCTAATTCTCTTTTATTTTACTAGAATGTGTTTTATATGGAAAGAATATTAATTTCCAAATGTTTATTGTACAGTTTATTATCTTTTTAAGAGACATTCGTCAAAATTATTTATTTAAGGATGAGATTGAATATTTTTTGTATTTTCCTATTTTGCAAAAATATCTTGTGTGATAAATATACGTAATTTACGAATTTGTATATTTGATGGCATAATTCAAAATTTATAAACAGTAATAGTAATATATTTTAAGTACAAAAGACTAGTATATTTTAACGATTTAAAACTGAAGATATTAATATGTTTTAGGAATTTATAATGTTTTAAGTATTTATTTATTGTAAACTGTACACATTATTAAATCTGTATGTATATTTAGGGCCCAAATGTTAATGAAGTCTCGCTTACAAGGAGCACAAAAAGGACATGGATTGCTGAAGAAGAAGGCGGATGCACTGCAAATGCGTTTCAGAATGATACTGGGAAAAATCATAGAAGTATGATTAATTTTTTATTGTTAATTTTATATCTTTATTGTACGCTATTGTACACTGTCATATTCTGTTATTTAGTTTTAGTTGGACTATACCTAACTTTATACATATTATTTATTTATGTATATACGTATATCATGTATATTTAAATTATGTATCATTCTTTCCTTATTTTTAGACCAAAACTTTGATGGGTGAAGTGATGAAGGAAGCGGCCTTTTCATTAGCCGAAGCAAAATTTGCTACAGGAGACTTCAATCAGGTGGTATTGCAAAACGTGACAAAAGCACAGATCAAGATCCGTTCTAAGAAAGACAATGTAGCCGGTGTAAATCTACCTATATTTGAGTCCTATCAGGATGGGACAGATACTTACGAATTAGCAGGTCTGGCCAGAGGAGGTCAGCAATTGGCCAAACTGAAGAAAAACTATCAGCGAGCAGTGAAATTGCTCGTAGAGTTGGCGTCGCTGCAAACAAGTTTTGTCACTTTGGATGAAGTTATTAAGATCACGAATCGACGTGTCAATGCAATCGAGCATGTTATTATCCCACGAATTGAGAGAACGTTAGCTTATATTATTTCAGAGCTTGATGAGCTTGAAAGAGAAGAATTCTATCGATTGAAGAAGATTCAGGACAAGAAGAAGATTGCCAAAGCAAAGGTACGATTAGATCTTATTCTACTAATATTTTATTCTATTATTATATTTATAATTATATTTATTATATTTATAATAATATTTAATTTTACTATTTTAATATTTTTGTTTTTATTGATTAAAAAAATTTCTAAGAAGATTATTCATATTTTACTAATTAATAATTTGTATGTTATCTAAATTTTCTTCTGCTTAGGCTGAAGTAGAAAGAGCAGTATTAATTGCAGCCGGACACAATTTGGACGACGCTACAAATTTGCTCGACGAAAGCGACGATGATGTGCTATTTTAAATACTGTAAATAATATTATAAATATTAAGTGTTAATATATCTAAATAGAAAGAATATAAATTTATGTCGCCGTTACGACAGTCTCGTTTGTACATTTTAGAGAATGTCGTTGGAAATCCCTTTTCCGCTTAAAAAATCAGTTACTATTTTTGTGTATCTCTTGAAAAATACATTTTACAGTATTTGTTGGGCAACAATTTGTATAAATGAATAATTATATATCATATAGATCATGTATTATGCAACAGTAACATTATTACTTTTTAAAAATATTTTGAGTATTTTAATTCTAAATAACAAAGAGTATTTAATTCTATATACACAAATCATTCCATCATTTATATTATTTTCAGCTTTTATGATGTGAGATAATTGTACGATCCGATAATATAGTAACGATTATAAATATAATAAATATGTATATATGTATTTTTCTACAATTTTTTTACCAATTATCAATCACTATATTTACTTCGTCGTTCTTACTCTGTGTATCGTTCTTTCTTTTCAAAGTTCTATAAGAACGTAAACGAGATATTTTAAATAAAAGAAAATACCGATTCATTGATCAAGTGCAATCTTGCAATTTGTATTTGATTTATTCGTAGTAAAATTGATTTAAAAAATGATCACAATCTGCTTGAACGAATTCGTTATTTTTAAATTGAAATCGATATAATTTTTACCAAAATTGAAATTTACTTGCTGTAAAATCGCTATAATTATTATACATCCACTAATAATTTTTACATTTACATAATTGCAACATGGCAAATAATGGTAGTACTTTAAAAAAATTAACTAAAATACAAACTAACGATTTTGTTTTGCAAATTGTGTATTAGATTCATCAGATTATTTTAATTTAACTTTGATTAATCTCTTTAAATGAATTGATTTCCCAATTAACATGGCACAATTGGCGTGTACAACTGACCCAGTGTACTCGTCAGTGAACTAGGTCGATCAATATTATAGGGGTGGAAGGGATAGGCAGGAGGTAGATTTCTCATACGAGTGGTGGTGACCACCCTTCTTCACTAAGAGGAGATGCGCGTGTGGAAATTGCTTTCAGTGCGCGGCGGAAAATTCGTCCACCCAAAACATGTCGTCGTCTTCTAGCGAGGATTGTTTCACGATCGTGGATGTACCGGAGAATCGTTATGACGAGGCAATCCACCATCTGAGATGGAACTTTTTCGCCGATGAGCCGCTTAATAACGCTATAGGGCTTTGCGCGAGGGGGGAATCTCAGCGCTCACTTGAGCGACACTGCCTTCTCACCTTGAAGCAGGGTTACTCCAGGATGCTAGTGGATAAGAAGGGAGCGGTGAGCGAGATCTCTTTCACATCACAAAATATATATATATATAACATTTCTTACTCAGTTGTTTCGTTATTTATTTTTAGAAATAATAAAAATTAACTTGTTTCAATTTTTTTCGTTTTTATTTGATCGTTATTACTTACAAAAGTTTTAATAATCTAATATTTTTTATACATTCGTAATGATTTATTTATAATGAATCTTGTTGTTCTATTTAAATTTTTTGTACTAGAGTTAATATGATCTGACTTATTGTTACTTTATGCATTTGGAGGAATAAGAACAAAATAGATTGTTATAAACATTTATTAAAAATTTAAAGATAATTAATAAAAAATATAACATCTATTAAAAAATTAAGTAAAAAAAATTTTTTAATTAAAATGGTATTGGCAGAAATAAATTAAGTACAAGTGACTTACAAATGTATTTTTTATAATTACTATAAAAATATTTGTTTTATACATAAATAGGCATAAACAGCAACTCGTACCGAAAGGAAAATTATTTTACAATTATGGTCACGAATACCGAACATTTTTCTTTCATTGCATATAAGAGATTTATCGTACAATCAATAGAACTTCCCTGTATATAACTCATAAGAATAAAATAATCAATTATAGTGAAATTATGTATATTATCAATAACATAATCTATAATACAATAACATATAATATAAATAACATAATAATATAAATAATTAATAAAGAGCAATAAAAATTCTCAAAAAATTTGATAATATTCCTG